TTTTTAGGTTCCTAAATCATTTCCAGATAACGTTTCAAGGAGGTACCTAAATTTATTTAAATGTAACACATTGATACTTTGATACACCGTGGAACAAATTATTTTAATATAAGAATTTTAGTGTGTCAAGTCTTGTGTCTCAAGTCTAGTCTAGTTTGAAAAGTAGTCATATTTTATGACTACGTAAGGGTGCTTCTATCGTCAATATTTCAAGTTATAAAGCGCTACAAGAATGTCGATTGTACTCGTCACCTGAGATACAAATCCTGCAATATACTCGGTAATCTGTTCGAGAGGCCAATAGTTTTCAATTTCGCCCCCTCACCTGTCCGCCAGAACGTTTGACATAATCCACCGTTTTATTAGCGAGACCCGTAACGACTCGCACGTGTGCACTACGACGCCTTTGTTCTATCAAAATTACACCCTAACATCCAAACGTCATATTTCCTCAACCATTTCACACGAAAATGTACCTTACATCAACATTCACACGATTTAGATTTTAGTTTTATAGGATCTTCAATTGTACTCTTTCGATGGCGCGAACGGCCATGTTATTATTTCGTTTTGGCGGGCCGTGACTGACGTTCAAAGTCGGTGTTGCCATGCGGAATAAACTGTAATACGAGTTATGAAAGATTATAGCGTAATCTGGGAATATTGAAGACAATAAGAATGAGCTTACCTACGTTTAGAATAGGGGTGATGTACGCGTTTGTTACTTTTATTGTTCGAGGGGAGCGCGTGACTTGGATTGCAGTGTTTTTGTTTTGTTAAACTGTCATATTAAACGTTTGGGGCGTAAAGAACAATGCGTTTCTCAATCCCAAGTGTAAGTATCTATAATAAGCGATTGATTTTCTTCCCAAAAAATGTTTATGTTTTCTTAACATCTGAGTAATTAGTATCTATCGAGAAATATTTTTTCAATTTCACAAGTAGGGTTCGTCTTTAAAATCAAATAAGTAACACAATTATCGTATCATATTAACTTATAAAATGTTATTTTGAAATATTCTTTTAATTTTTTTTTGCTCTCCTTTTTTACAAAAAGTACTAAGACAGAGAAAAATTACTATCCCTTTGTATGCAAATTTGTGAAACTCGATGTAAGCATTTTCTCTTTGAAGCGAGTAGGGTAAGGTGCCACAGGAGTGCGCGGTCCGCAAGAGTACGAAGGCATGACATTAGCCACAGGTGCGAACAGTTCGTACGAGCTTCAGTTGTGTTTTGAGGCTCAGTGAAGGTCAAGTGCGCGTCAACAAGTATCGAGCAAAAAAACGGATTTTGGTGGAAAAAAGTAAGATTATTGCTTTTGTACTAATTTGCTAAAGTATTTTCGTATTATGAATGTTGTGTAGCACATTAGTTTCACTTGGGAGTGTGTTAATTAATAATAAATCATCTAAAACTGTTCACTACCTACTAGCAACGAGATTGTTGCGACTATATTTCCATAGATGGCGTAACTAGTTGTATTTCACATTTGTATTGACATTTCCTCAAGAGCGCGCACAGCATGAGTGCGCACGCGTACTCTTGGGGATACTGCGCACTCTTATGAACTGTTTCTTTTTTTCAGATGGCGTTGAATAAACGGAAAACAAACAGAATGAATTGGTCACAAGAGACATTAGATCTAGCTAAAAAGATGGTGTTTGAAGAGGGAAAAAGTAAAAGAAGAGTAGCTGAGCTTTTAGAAGTGCCGGAGTCTACATTGAGAAAAAGATTGAAGCGAGATGATGTCGCAACATCTTTAGGTAGATATAGAGCCACCTTTACACCGGAAGTGGAAGAAAACTTGATCGAGCACATAAAGAAGTTAGATGAAATGTTTTATGGTATGACATTGAAAAAGATGAGGTCTACTGTTTACGAATACGCCGAAAGAAATAATTATACCCACCAATTCAATCGCGAAACAAAAATGGCTGGGAAACATTGGGTACGAGATTTTATGAAGAGACATGCTGATAGAATTTCCCTTCGGCAACCTACATCGACTAGTATTGCCCGAGCTATGGGCTTCAATAGGCCACAAGTAAATAGATTTTATGATCAACTACAAACTCTGCAAGAAAAGTATAAATTTGAGCCATGTCAAATCTACAATATGGACGAATCCGGATTTACAACTGTTCCAAATAAAGCCCCAAAAGTGTTAAGCTCTAAAGGGAAACGTTGTGTTAATAAAATAAGTAGCGCAGAGAGAGGCACCAATGTTACAGTTGTATGCGCAATGAGTGCATCAGGAAATTATGTACCACCAGCTTTTATATTCCCGCGAAAGAGAATGAAGGCCGAATTATTAGATGGAGCTCCAGCCAACTCAATAGGCCTCGTAACAGAGAGTGGTAGAATGAATACAGATTTATTTTTGGATTGGCTAAATCATTTTAAATATCATGTCAAGCCCACCGATGCATATCCAGTTCTTCTGATTTTAGATAATTACTTAGCACATACATCTTTGGCAGCTGTGAAATTTTGTAGACAAAATAATATCCATGTGCTGACTATCCCACCTCACAGCACGCATAAAATGCAGCCCCTTGATAGGTGTTTCTTTTCACCGCTGAAAAAATATTATGCCAATGAGTGTGAAAAGTGGATGTTAAACCACCCGGCAAGGGCTATAACTATTTATCAGGTAGCTACTTTATTCAATGCTGCGTACATGAGGACAGCCAATATTTCAAATGCTGTAGCAGGATTCAAAGTAGGAGGAATAGTTCCCTTCAATCGAGACTTATTTACAGACGCTGATTTTCTGGCCAGTGTAGTAACTGATAGACCCGTTGAATATGCTAACGTTTTAATTGATGCGCGGAATGAGACAGGTACTTCCACACAAGTCCCGTCGTGTCCTATTGCGGTACCTGAACAAGTAGCGTATATTCCTGCTTCTAGCGAGCATCTACCTGAAGAAGTACAACTGAATATTGATATACCTGATCAAGTTCCTTCTACTCCTACCCACACTGTACTGCAAGAAGAACAATTGCTCAGTGACATGTCATTAGACCAGATGATGAGTGTTCGCGATCCCGTCGATAGTATTTTGCCAGACGAGGATACACAGCAGGGCTCTAGAACTATAACGACTACACCTGTAAACTTCATTGCAAGAGAACCATCTCCTAATGACAATAGTGGAAGCCCTTCAATTTTAACCGATAGTACACATCGATTGAATATTGAAAAAATACCCAATCCACCAAATGTTACTTTTGCTGACATTTCGCCGCTTCCAAAGGCTTCGACTTTACGAAAACCATCACAACGCAGCAAAAAATCCGAAATTATAACAAGCTCTCCTTATAAGAGAAAATTAGAGGAGGAAGAAGAGAATACTAAAACGAAAAAACTCTAAAAGTAAATCAGCACAAAAGAAACCAAAGAAGACATATAGAAAACCTAAGAATCCGCCAAAAGAGAAAAAAAAGACTTGGAAATGCCCTGGATGTGGAGAGATTTATAGGGAGCCAATAACGGAAGATTGGATCCAATGTGTCGACTGTACTGCATGGTGGCACGAGGAATGTACATCATATACCGGAAACGGACCGTACAAGTGCGATTTATGCGAATAGGATTTGCGCGCACTCTTGGATCCACTGCGTACTCTTAAGGGCTACTCTGCGTACTCTTGCGTGATTGCGTCCACATGAGTGCGCATATGATTGTGATCTCATTTTTTACTACAAATTAAAAACTGACAAGACTTTGTTGATTATTCGTATAGTATATTAAAGTTGATTAGTTTGTTCTTCTAATAAATACATTTTGAATTAATAATGGCTCTTTTTATTTGAGTTATTTCACTGTGATCGTTAACCGCGCACTCCTGTGGCACCTTACCCTACTTGAGTTACAAGTGTTCTACCTAGATATAAATGACAGTTCTCCGAAGACTTGACCCCATCATTTTGAGGTCCACTTGAGGATCAAAGGGGCTCCAGGAAGATGTCGAATGAAAGACCAAATAAAACTCATTAATTTTATTAATTTTATAAATCGAAATTCATTACACCTTCCTCCTTCATTATAGTTACAAATTCCTTCTCATTAATACTATTATTTATAATTATCGTAATTAATTATTAACTCCCCCCTAAACTTACAAATAATACATCGACCTAATTTCTCAGAACATATAAATTAAGTTGAAAAACGTTAATTACAACTCCATTTTGTTACAACAGACGAATTATTCTAATTTTTTATAAATTCTTATTGCTATTATTTCACATCGGACACTACGTGGGGAAAACCGCCATCTTGTCGCGATGTTGCCAATGTTTTCAATAAAAATCTTCACTAATTTTAAAATTAATATTTACATTGCAGCAATTCGCAGATTTCAATTAATAAAAATTGACTTAAGTACATAATGAGGAAATAAGTAATATGTATCTTGTGTGATAAATAAACAGAACTCTGAAATTACCGAAATAAGTATTTGAAAAACAAAAATAGATACAACTCGGAATATTTCGTGAATGCAATAGAAAATATTTGGGTTTATTACTATAAATTCGTTGTTTAATAGTGTTCTTGCGATTGAAGTGGCTATTACCAAAATAAAGGTCTATTTAAATATTTTAACTTGGCTGGATTTAATTATTACTATTACAAAAAAATCTAAGTATATTTCCACTGAAAATTTTACTTGAGGCAAATGTGCGTCCATGTTTTGAGATTGTCAGCAATCAGCCAAGTTGAAACCAAAATGAAATTGCACAAGGGATGCCTCCCGAATCCGCTCACCGATAACTATGGGAGCGATCACAACTATTTACATAAGATAGTATCTACACACGCAAACACTGACTCTTTTTAAATTATTTTCTATTCACACAACAATTAACTACTTCTTTATCAGTTATTTACAGTAATGTACCTACAAAAGACTGAGTTTCACCACCACATTTCAAAAGGAAATTAGTTTATATTTTATAGATTTTTCTGTTTTTTCTTAGATTAAATCCTTTTTTGAATTGTTAACGATCCAGTACGCAGTCTGAGAGGTGATGAAACATCTCGTCAAAGTTATAACGTTACAATATAAGCGAAAACAAATGAATGTGCTTTGTCTAACATAACGAAGACATTAGGTATTGGAAGTTTGGCACTCTTATTTCAAAAACCTGAATAAAAAATATTTAGACGTTTACGGGTACATAATATACTGGAAATAATTGTGACATCGACGCCAGAATGACATAGATAAAAAATAGTAATTTTATTTTTTTTATTCAGAGCAAAATTGATTGTGAAAATATTTTCAATTCAGGTTTATATGTCTGTAAAAAAATATCACAAAGAATCAATTCAAATCCTCACGTGTGCTTAACTAAAGCTATTGCTAATTTATTTACACATTACCCTCCTCCCGTTGTGCGGCGATCACCGACTATGTCCACATTTCACATCAACACTTTCGAAATTTCACTATTTTTCTAATCAATGTTCATTTTTGTAGCTCTAGCCACGTCGCTTCACCCGAGACAGTGTTCTTAGAGGAGACATTAAAAATTAAAGAAACTTCGACTTTTATTATGCTACATTAAAACGAAAAAACTATTTAGTGTACAAAAAAAAAAGATATAACCGTTGAGAGTAAACGAATTTACATAATGATTATTTGTATTTACCATGGATTGTGGGAGAATATTTTACTCACAGCAACACTAAATAAGAATGCAACGACAATGAAATCATTGAGTCTACAAAAACTAAGAAAACAATTGAATTTAATCAAAATACATCTCTTCCTTGAACATTGTCTCATGATAAAGCTGTGGGAACTTCTACCAAGCGCGGCCCTGCAGCGGCAGGTACCCGGAGCACTGCTGCTGGTAGGCCGCGGGCTGGCGGTACGACGACACGAGCGGGTTGCTGCACGCGGCCTGCGAGGGCTGCGGGGCGGAGTACCCGGACGTCGGGGTGGCGCAGTGGCTGTGCGCTGGTGACGACGACTCCCCAGAGCCACAAGGTTTCCCGTCCTTCACTAGGACGGGAACTGCCACTCGTCGGGGCGATGACGATGACTGTTAAAGAAATTACATTATATATCTAATCACACAAAAAGCTATCATAAAACTACAATTAATTAAATAAATCATTATAACGAAAATTACATGAAAGCAAGTCATTAGAGGGGCGGGCGGCGCCCAGCGAACAATGAAATGTTGGAGCTACCGCCCCCACCGCGCAAATTGAGCCAATGTTCCACGCACGAGCCAGGGTCACTGTACTGGCTGGGAGTTAGCGCAGTCAAACGAGAACAGCATTATTTGCGTAACAGGAGACTTTTGAATTTAGTTCATAGATTTCGTTTGTAACCTAGATTTATAACGAGAGCATTTGCTGTTTATTTTTAATTGAGGTAAACAGTAAGTTACAAATTAGTCTACCGAATTTGCTGTTGCACATTTAAAAATAATTCCTATAGTTTGTTATACCATAAATTGCACAAACAAAAGGAATAAGATAACATCAATCTAGGTTACCGTTCCACGTTGAGGTAGCCCTATTTTCCCGCCAAATTCTAATTGTCACGGGGTTGCCAGATTTGGGAAGTGCGGGTCCCGTATTTTGTTACCCATTGAGAAGCGCAGCGTGAGATTGCTATCGAGTGGGCAAAGTCTATCGCCTCGGCAAACAGGGGACCAGCCCCAAGGCACTACGTCAGCGGACGATTATTATCGCTTACACGTTAATATTCATTATTCATTAGCATTGTATAAAATTTTATGAATTAATAATGTCACGTCGTCGCGTCGCCGTCGCTTGATAAGATTGCGATTTTTTGAGATTAAATTATTGGAGGGTTGATTTTGAAACTCAACATGATTGTTGCCATCTTTCAAACTTTCTGTACTAACCTATTAACAGCCAAAAAATGCCTTGCATTGATCAGGTGCACTATATCTTAGTTTTTTAAAGTACGTGAATAAATTTGAAGTTATTTTGCTACAGACCTGATTGTGTTGATTTTGTTCCGCCATCGCCTTCTCCTTGGCTTGCCTCTTGCATTTGTACCGGTGATTTTGAAACCATATTTTGACCTGAAACAAATTTCTTCATTGTAAAAATAATAATGTACTGTACCCGTTTAGGGTAGGAGTTTTGATGGTATGTGTGTTCGTGTTTTTATGTTGGCTGGTTTTTTTTTGTGTGGGGAAAATCATCAAATGATTTCTCCCGCCCAGTGCCGGGCGGGAGGGAGTGTCAGACTCTTACTGACTAAAAACCCCCCTGTTCCTTCTCCTGCTCTGGGCCGAGGTCGCGGTGCCTCATTGCTCTTACCCCGCAACCCTGGCTGAACATCAGCCCTTTAGGGCCCCGTCTGTGGTGGTCTATTGGCTCTTTGAGGCGCGCGCGGAACGCTACGCGCCGTACGCTCGAGCCTGGTTCTGGTCGGGAGGCGAGCTGCCCTTACTCGCCGACCGATGTTGGCTGAATGGTTTCTTGAACAGAGGTCACATACGAAGGTTCCAAATTCCAATGTAGTTAGTGCAAACTGTACTTAGATATTTAGTTGTAAAAAGTTAATTTTAAATCTCGTTTGCAAGATGTTGTGATAAACCTTTTATTTTTTTTGTTCATTTGTTTAACTCTTTTTGGAATTGAGAGTGAAATTCATATTTAATAATACCTAATTGTTTACAAATACATATGTATGTATCATTTAACGTGCTAAATGCTTCCTACTACTTTCTATAGTGGGTATTTATTCAAAAAGTTCCTAAATGTCAAGAAAATGAAACAAATATTGTTGTGAATTTGAACAATTAAGTATACCTATTAGCATTTGGGCCACATAACAACATTTAGAAATATAAAATGGCGGCTGGTTATAAGTAATTGTCGAGAGCAACAGGAATTGATTAGCCTAGTGTGATGTCTGCTATTAATGGTTGGATGGTAGTGGGGAGAGATCATAAAACTTGCCATTAAAACAAGTAACCCTCTACCGCGGCGATTGCAGCTAAGTTATAAAACCTGTAAGTTAGGTAATAATTCCCTTTATACCGGCTTACGGAAAAGTCACGGCTTAGTAGCGCTATCATACCGACAACAATCATAGTTTCTAAAATCTTCTTCACTTGATTGCTACGCAACTAGAATAATCCTCCCTGATCCGTAAACTGACTTTCTCAAAGCCTTCCAAAGTTACAATGATTGGTGAAACGATGGCAATTAATGCGCTAATCCCATCGCAAATGCGTGACGAGTCAACGAGCAAAGTCAGTGCCTCCCTGAAATTAGCGCTAGGCCGAGGCTGGTCAACTTACACTCCACCTTAATGACGAAAGAATAAACATGCGCTGTTTACCCCACAGAGCGGCCGGCCTTTGTCTACGCACGCTCCCGACGCAGCGAAATATACACTTTATTTATTATTTATACATCGAGAGCGTTTCCTCGTGTTTATTCTTTGAAATGGATGTGTACTCCCCCGTACCAAGATCTCCTCCCGCTACGACACCAAACATTATGTTGTGCGCGCCAATTTATCGCTCACACATCCCGTTATAAAAACAAATCGTTACATCGTTACTAAATACTGGCCACTAGACTCACAGACAGCTTGACAGCGTTTTCTTTTTTTTCGTTTACTCTGTGGTGCTTCGTTGTGGGAACGTTGTCAGCATTGACGCGCGCTTTTGTGCTGCGTTCAGGAATGATGCTCGCTAGGTTATTTATGGAGGAGGTGAGAGTTAATGAACGGGCCCCGTCGGCGGGCGTCGCTTATTGCACTCCGCGGAGGCTTGGACGCTCTCGTGTGGAGTACTTTCTTTCAATCTCCTTGTGCATAATGGCCGGTGTTGGCTCGCACGCACTCCACGCCCGAGTGCGCCATTCACTTATTTGTTTTACATCTAAACGACTGTTGTTACTCGTCGAGTGATGAGACATTTCGGGTGTGTCCGAGGGCTTTCGTGCTTGAGTCTACACCCACTTAGCTGCCAAGCGTGATGTTTTTCTATTATGTTGTGCTAACTGTAACCAGCTACCGGAATGCATCTTGGCATTTCCTTAATTATATTGACTAACTCGATAATAATAGTAGTTTCACGTTGTTTATGGGGACCCACGTGAGGATTTCAAAGCATAAAAAAATTACGTTCATTAAAATGAAAAAGCGGCCACCCAGTCAGCTGTCATCGTTACAATACAAGTCAATTTTGGCGCCGAAGCCTTTCCTTCGTCAAGAATTTGTGAGTTTCTGAATCGGAGTCTAATCGTCACGGTATAAGGTCGGAAATGGGTCGTAAAGTGTTTAGACATAGCGCGATATATACACCTCGCGTAGGTGTTCCGTTTCTCTGAACGATGACTCGGTATATTGGGCGACAATTATTATAAATAAAGATGCACTCGTGTTTGTTTAGCTCTTCATTTGCTGCAGTGATTTTTTCCAGCGATGAGTTTGACGTTTTAATATTCGAAGCGTTTACCAACAATGGCTGGTATTTGGGCTCAATTTCGTGTGAGGGGGCAACTCTGAGATGGTAGGTAAATCAATTCTAAGGATTTTACAAGAATCAGTAGGAGAGCAAACATTTGGAACTTGTATGAGAGTTTGTATGTTTTACGGTAATTGAGAATGTACATTTGTAGAGATTTAACAGAAAGTTGGCCATCTCAAGTATGCACGTGATGTAGAACAAAATTGAAGAAGAAATAATAATAAGAAATGGTAACGGCAGAGTAACACATTGGACTATCAGTAAACTAATGTAGGTACCGTTGGAATTATTAAATAAACGCTCCCATCGTCGATTCATTTAGAAACGTACGGCATGTCACTGATTTGTCATTCCCGGCAGCTTTCACAATGGCTGATTGTCGCACATTATTGTATCGGAACCTCTGCATCCGACGGGCGACGGCGCGCTGAGTAAACATCGGTCCGCGCCATGACAGCGCATCAATGAGCTTCATTTATTTAGTAACTTATAAAAATATTGAGCAAAAAAATCTCTTCGTGCAACCACAAAAGTGTGGGGCACACGATTTTCAATCTTAATCTAAAGAAAATTTTAAATTTTAACGGTACAAACTAATTTGACAGATGCAAAATAAATATGGTGGATAGTTGGTAGGTACGTGAGTGAATGTTGGTTACAAAATGTTTTGGACAGTGTTTTTTCAGGTGATTGTGATTCTTTTGATTTCTACGTGTATTGTATTGATAGGTATTGTAAAACTTTACGATTTTACATTTCAGTAACGTTAAATTTATCACATTTACCTATACTATTTTAAATTGTTGATGACAGTTCTTTGAGTCTGAGTCGAGAGGTCGGACTGTAGATACAATTTAATGGAATATAGAGGGCGGTAAGAGATTTATGGTAAAAGTATTGGCATTCAGCCAAACTTTCACCATCCATGACCTGTCAAATTGAGAAAAGACAAGCAACCAACACAATATTTAGGAACGAGGCCTAAATAATACGAATCTCTAAATTTTAACATCGATTTCCTCTTAACCACATTCTGTTCTCGCGTTACCCGAAATATAAGCAATTATATAACTGTATCTAGTAGTACATAAGCTTTGAGTATCGTTTAGCGTAGCTCCCGACCCCTGCCCGTGGACCGTGACTTGTACCGCCCTCTGTTTACACATCAATCCACCAAATTAATATTTGTAAGTTGTATGCTTATTAAACTCGGTTTAAATGTTACTTGTCTGCGCGTTTGTTTTATTAAACAAATACACTTTGACGTCGAGGTTTCATAAACATTTTGTACGTTTATATTTACTTATCAAGTCTGTTATGAGGCTAGAAGGTAGCCACAAATTACAAAATACCCACATACTTCAAAAAAACTGCAGCCCAATTCACCGATCTATAATTTGCGAAGTAATCACAAAAAGTATTCTAAGATCCTACGCAAACACCGCAATATTAACAATGGAGAATTGCAATTCAAATAATGGCCGTTACCTGTGCCACAAAGGGCTGTGTCAGGTGTATCATCCGCTTAAGATACTATTAATCCTTCACAATGCTTCGCAAAAAGTTGCCATTCATAAAATTTAATCTCGAATATATTGCTTTGTACTGGCAGCCCGAGCGAAATGCCAGCTAATAATTTTCGCGGTTATTAAACTAGGGAAACGAAACGACTCAAAAGTTTTTTTTTAATTTGTTTTGACATGTTGGCCGCAACCGCTACCTTGGAAGCAGTGATCTTAGAGGCCCTTCGGACCGCAGGGCTTTAGAATATAGAGAAGCCTACAAACAGGTCTCATAACTAAAAAATCAAAATTATCTGTAAAAAAACTACGTTTTCCTAATTTATACGCGTGCATTGACCATCAAGAATCTCCAAGGAATACAGCGCATCAACCCTTGAATTTAACTGAGCCAATTTTTAATAACCCAAAGCAGATGAATTTCGGCGGCTTGACAGGAAGTTTATTGAGATCCCACGCAGATTTATGGATTAAAAAAACTTGGAGTGGGATTATTGGTAAATTATATGCTCTGAGGGATTCGCCGACGGGATTCAATCAGTTTACCTTAAATAATTATGATGTGAATGTAAATATTATTTTATTGAAGATTGAAGATATTTCGGCTTTAGGGGAATTTTTTCTTTGTGGTGTAACCGCATTAGCAAAAACGTTTTTTTGTTGTTTTTTGCTTTATTGAATTGACAGAAAGGTGGCAGCTGAGCGGCTGTTTAGATGATTTGATTTGCTAATGTATACCTACAGTAATAGAAATGGCATTGCATTCTCTTTTTAATCGACTGTGGACATACTCTAGGTATTGTTAATCGTTTATCTTATGTTTATGTTGAGTGTAATATTCTTTATTAGTTTCTTTATTTTTTTATCTAATCAACATGCTTATGAAATACGAGTAGGTATCATTGGCAGTATCGCACTTGGTAAAAAATACAGTCAAAATTACACTGTCCCTTCAAAACCGAACTTTTTATTAAAATTGGTATTTCACAACCGCGTTTCTTTTTATTTGTAATATTTTACTGATTCGAGATTCTTCAGATTCTCGAGATTCGAGATATATGATTAATACTTTTTGAACTTAGTGTTACCTAATTAAATTTTATTTGAGACTACTAACTAAATCAACTGTCATTATTGCTGTCATCATCAACCTTCAATTGACTCTAGATGCATGACGTCATTTCACAAATGTCATTATCCATCTTGAATTGTCATAAAACCTTTTCAGTAACATCTTTGTCATAATATCAACAGTTGTCTGACACAAACATGATAATTTTTCCGGGGGCTACTTGACGAGGGCCAGTGAGCGAACATCGCTGACAGCTATTGTTTCATGAAGCGCCATTATCTCATTCCTCTCATTAAACGTGTCGGCTGCCCGCATGCGCGCATCCGCCGGAGACAAGACCATAGAGTTCGTGACCATAGACAATGACTATACTCTTTTGTTTCCAACTTTTTTGGCATCTCTCACGCTTTTAATAACGGTAGGTATTTGATATTTAGACGGTTTTTTATACCTACTCCAATTTACGCTTATTATGTCAGAGGGGATGGGATGCTGCTTTTGGTAGATGCTTCCTTTATTAGCGAGTTTATAATTTGATTTCAGTGTACCAACTTTGTAATATTTACTCTTTTAGAAAGTCACTAACTAGCTTACGTTTTTTTTGCACACTAAAAAAAAGTAAGTAGGTACCTAAACTTTTCACATAATCTCCTTTCTGTTGTGTGAATTACCTTTTTCGTTAGTTTAGCATTTAGTCACAAGCAAGCCCTGATATATCTGTTGTTCTTTAAGGATTACCTACGCACGTCTGTCTCAATACTGAAGTATCACTTATAAAATTACAAACATAAAACGTCTGTACCCTAAATAAAACTTACCTATCCGACAACGACTTCTAACTTACTAGCTCGGACCCAAAGCTACCGAATTCCAAGTACTGAGAACACAGAACAATAATTAAAATAGTCATTAGAGTTATTAAATCAGAGTTTGTTTGAGGGAAGCGGGCGTAGCGCGCGAACAACGAAATTTACTTAAGTTCTACGAAAGCGCCCTCTGTTTACACATTTCAAACGTCAAACAGTCGGGATATTGTGGCTGAGCTCGTCTTTATTGCTCGGCTATTTAAATGCTATGAATATGCAACGATTTAGCGTTTTGATTTGTATATTATACTTACCTTTATAGAGACAGATTTCGAATGTTTTTAAATTTAGTTAATACTTAGGAATAGACCTTAAAAAACACAAAAGGAAAGATTGATTAAGCACAGAGACAATGACCGTTCTTTGGCTACTAAACGGACCAGAAGTTACAAAAGATATGCCTTCCTTTATTATATAAACTACTGGCCGCTCGCCGTAAAATTACTCCACCACATATTTAATGGGCGTTATTAAACATATACTTAAAACTTCCTCTTCAATTACTCTGTCTATTAAAATTTTTTATAGATTTAAACATACATAATATATACTTCATCAAATGACTTCTTTCATCCATGCTGAGGCGAGAGGGAGTGTCAGACTCTTACTGACTAAAATCTCCATGTTCCTTGGGGGGTCCAACTCAATGGGGTTTGCTGGGGCAAACCCCATTGAGTTTTGGATTAATTGTAGCTAGTAAAAAGAATTACTAACAATACTTAACAATAAAAAAGAGAGGAAAAAGTGAAGCACTTAAATCTATCAAACAAATCGGTAATGGTAATCAGAAAAATAGCGAAACTTAATACAGATAATGCAGCGATTAATGCGTGAAGCACGCGCCGGCCGTGTGCCTGACAGCCGACGGGGACGGCCGCGCTAACCGGACCGGTAGCTCGAGATTTTACGCCGATAAAAATATACCTACTACGTGCGCGTAAAACTTGGATTTTCAAAGAAATACATATAATTAAAATACTTATAATTAAAACTAGGTTTTTTTCTGTAATGGCAACTTAGTCTCCAATACAGCAATATCGACTGTACTACTAGTGTCGAATGGTGGGAATAAAATATTGTTAATACACTCTAACAAATAATAGACAAGCTCTTCTACAATATGGCAGTAAGATGAGCTGTCATTGTTAAAACCAAAATAAGAGCAATTTCCTTGTCATCTTGTCATCCAATGAAGACCAATATGAGTTAGGCTAAGGTTAATGCTATTTAATCAAAAAGCACGAAAACCAGACATGGAAAAACTTTGAAAAGGAATGCCATTCTGCAATGAATACATCATAGATTAGGTACCCAAAAGTCTCAAAGTGTAGGTAGGTAGTAAATATAAGTATTCCTATAAAATCATTTTTTGTTTTTTTTTATATCATAATGTGTTTGCCATATCTCATACATATTTTTATTATTTATTTGTCAAATCCAAATAATCGTAAACGCAACGTTCATATTTCACACACCCGTGAAATATTTCACCAAATATTTGCGTAAAAAATGTCATCGCCATTATTAATATAACTGTCAACGGCACGCGCCCTATTTCCCACATTCGTTTACAAAATTCAAATCCTTTACAACAATGCGTCGATAATCTCTAGCCGTGTCGATATAAATTTCATAAACTCGGTACGACCCTAACAATGGTTTTAGGTCCATGAATAATCTCCATTTTGACGGTGTCAACACCAGCCGTTTGGCGCCAAAACAAACGTCAAACGGGCACAATGGCGGCGCGCGTTAAGCCGAAGATAATGCGTTGTTATTATAATTGGGCCGTATAGTTGGTATTGTTGAACCGTGCAGGTTAATTACGTTGTTAATTGCAGATACTTGCACGATTGTGCTCTGATTTCGAAATGAAATGGAATCGGTCTTGCGTATGATATACTTAGGTAACTGTAACTGCGGCACATAGATTGCAGCATTACCCATGATTCTCAAAAAAATAATTAAATTAGGTGAAGAT